CGTACTAATAGAATCTTTATGAAACGGAAAAGAAGTTTGCTGGGTCCTATAAGGTGGCCGAGTATGCATGATGTTGGTTTTGACTTTTGCTTATCAAACTTTCGAATTTTAGTTTTTGAGTAATTTAAAAAACTTGGAATACAAATATTAAGTACCCCTTATTAAATGTAAAGGCAATTATAAGTTAAATACATAATGGAAAAATTTTATTTAAAAAAATTTTATTTTTTTTTAAATTAAAAATTTAATTTAAGTATAGGTAATTATAGTACATAACAATCGTGATTAATTAAAAATGGTACTATTATACTACCGGGTTTAATATTTGTATAACAGTATGTACATACTTAAATGTTACGCAAATACTTTATTATATCAGAAAAATATTATTGAATAACAGGTGAATTTGTAGAAGACTATTAAATTAAATTATATTGCATAGAAATAAATAGCTATTATATTATGAGAATATAACATATGGCAAGTATGTATAATTATATTTTTACATACATTATGTATATATCGGAGTGAATATGAAAATATAATTAAAGTGTATATATATAAGTAAAAAATGGTTATGAATCTAATAAAAACTTGTTTGAATCGATTTTAAATTTATGTGTATGAAGAATTCTGAAACGCATATTTCGCATTTAATTGTAACTATATGTTTTTATTGTTATATTGTATGTAAAACTTTTTGCCACAATGACACATGGGCGAAGTAATAAATATCATTTAAAATTGCTGATTAATAAGTAATAATTGTCAATTATACAATAAAGAGAAACATAATAATACAAAGAGAGTGTTATATATATGTAAAAATATGTATGTATGCAACAATTTTACAAATCATTTAATATTTCTAAAATTACAAAAATTCTGTCAAGAGGTACTTATACAAAAAAAAAATTTATCATTTTCATAGATAAGACGTCTCCAAATGCACATTTCACTTTTATTAATGGCATTTTTTACAATAAACATGATATTGATCTGATCTTGAATTAATATTTTATATTTGATTGAAAATAAATAATATTATATTGTATTTTTTGCTTATATTATAATATATGTATGTATGTATGGTATAAATACTATATACCATACAAACATACAAACTATTAAGAACTGGTTTTAAAAAAAATCCGTTGTTATACGTTTATGCGTACTTACATATATAAAATTTTCAAATGCTTTCTAATAAATTTTTTTACAAATTAATCAATAATGAATCGATTTAAAATGCAAATTATTTGAAAGTTTTGTTTTAGTAGATATATACGTATACGTATTTACTAAAAAAATGTATGTATGAACATCCATATTTGTACGTACATATGTATGCATGTATATTTTAGTATAAAATATAATTAGATATTTGTGACCGCATTTGACGTAAATAACAATCTGAAAACCGGTTTATGTTAAAGTGTCAATAATAAAAATAATGGGTGATTTTTTAAGAGTTTCATTTTTAGCCAAAATATACGAAAAGAAATGCAAATTTTCATTAAAATTTTTTATCTAAATCGAATTTTTTATGTAAATGCTAGACTTTAATATTATTTCAACCATTTTGACTGGAGTATATCTAATTACAAATATGTAAAACATGTGCGTATAAAATTATTTTTTAAGGTTACGATAAATTATTATAATTCAATAACGGTTGACACAAATCAGGCAATTTACGTATAATTAAATAGCCCAAGGGTATGTAATCATTGTTGAAGTATCAGTTTGCAATGGAGAGATGATTGATTTGACGTTGTAATTGAAAATAATCACCCTTTTCCTTTGTAGTAAAGTTTTATACAGATCAAAATTTTCTTTCAATATTATTGCATGTGTTTTTCTCTTTTTGCATATATGGATGTGAAAAATAAAAAATTTAAAATAGAAATACGCATAATAACAAATATAGGAAACAAAAATAAATTGAATATTTTTATATAGAATCTTAATAAATACAATCTTTTACCCGGTTTAATGAGATTTAATTTAATTCTAATTTATAGTACTTATAACTTTTGATTAATAATGATAGTCGCTGTTTAAAATAATTAAAAAAAAATGTATTTCATTTGTGTTTACTTGCTAGCTTTTTCAATAATTTAATGTCAGTTAATAAATTTTAATAGAATTTACGTAACTTAATACGTAAGTTAATTAATTAAGGAAAATAGAAAAATAAAATAAAAAAATTGATTTAGTTAACTGCATACATAAGTAATATATAATCAATTAATTGATTAATTTTAAAAATCAACAAAATAATTTTAATCCCTTCGTAATAAACTAAGTGCATTTTTATTGTTATTTGCAATTTTTTCAATATAAGATTGAGTAGTTTACAAAAACAACACACTTTTTTTTTAATAAAAAAAATCATTCTGGGTTATCCAAAGGAATGGATTGAAATATTTTTAATTTATTTTTTAGAATTTATTGAAACCAAATATTTATTAAAATATTTGGTTTCAATTTGATTTTAAAAGATTTTAATTATATTTGCTAGAATGTTTATTCAGCAGTATAATAGATTCTACTGAATACGATATTTTTAATTATTGTAACTGATTTCAATTAATTTTACATTTTCCTATCTGTTGTTCATTTACTTATGACATTTACCTAATTTTTATCGGACAGACCATTTCTTTCTAATTATGAAGTGTTTCAACCTTATCATTTTTATATTTATTTAAAATATTTGCAATTTATGCTTTAATTAATGAAAATTTTTTACACCATACTTTCTCTTCATTGAATTTTAGTTTAATTTTTATACAAAATTCTTCTCCATTTTGTTTTCTTGATAGAAATATTCTGTTCTATACAATAATATAACAATAGTACAGTTTTGCTTTATTTAAAATCAAATAGGTACGTTTGTAATAATAAAAAATAAAATTGTTGTAAATTTGTTTTTAAAATAAATAAAATTACTTGTTTAATACAAGCTTTAATTAAATATTCCATTTTCACTCTAAGTGGCTAAATTGATTTTCAATTTAATATAATTTTAATTGATATTTCAAATTTTTAATTTCAAGTTCATGTTTTCAACATTATTAGTAATTGATCGATCATTTATAAATTATTTTTTAATTGTTTGAATTATTTAATTTATCAAAACTTATTTAATCCCATTTAATTATATCAGACTATCTATACAATGTTGCAGATAAATTATATTTATTAGAAAAATTTTATTGCTAATACTTTAAAAATTTTAAAATTTATTCTGATAAATAAAGTAGATTAAAATTCGTTCATTATGAAAATTTCAATAATATTTTTTGAATGAAAAAAATTAAAAGTAAAATTTTGTTAATTAAGTTAATTTCTATTATTTCTCTTTACGGATTACGAATTTTTAACTATGTGGAGAGCTTAATGAAAACCTATATCAAATATGACAAGCAATTTACAAAACATTGCAAAATTACAAAACATTTTATTAATAATACTTACAATTCAAAGTAAAATGGTCATTTTATTTTGTATTATAAGTATAACAAAATAAAATTTTGAAAATTTCAGATAAAAGATTTTCTCCAAGAAATCCCGATAGTATAATATTTACAATGCTTACAATAATTCCGAAATCATTTTTTATTTTATTTTCTATTTTATTAATTTTATTAATTATTTTATTTTCTTAATTGCTTATTTAAATAAAAAGGTTATAATATAAAATATTTATTTGAATTTATTTATTTTAATATTGAGTACATAAGTAAATATAATATTTTTTTTTGCAAACTGTTATAATACAAGTACCTATATAATTATATAAGTAATTTACAAAATTAATACCATTTTAATTAGGATCAAATACTTATATTTTTAAAAATATAATAATATATTTTTATAAATAAAAATATTTAACACAATAAATAATAATTCTTAAATATATGTAAATACGCTTATACGTATTATTAAATAAATAAATAAGTAAGTATATATAAAAATAAAATTTTATTTTAATCTTATCAAGTATAATTCTATATTTTTTTTTTATTATTATTTTTAAAAATAATGTTATCAAAATCAAACGGACCTTTGCAAATAATCTAAATATAAGTAAGTAAATATATGTAATTATAATACTTTTATATAAGTAGCGGAAAACAATTATTATAATTAATATTATTATTAATAATTTCAAAGTACAAAACACGGAATATTTTAATGAAAAGATATGCAAAGAATTTTTAGTATTTGAATAAAACTTTGATATTGTACGTTATGTATGTAAATATTATATTGTTATATTATGATAATTAACTATATGAATATGTATATTTTGTATATTATACGAGTATAAATGACGAGTTACAACAATTACATTCATACACGCAACATACATATGTATGTAGCATCGTAAGTAGTAATTTTGTTTTTTAAAATTTCTTTGCATGTAAAAAAATTTGTAAAGATTATTTAAATAAAATTTTCCATTAATAGTTTTTTATATAAATTATTAATATGTATACTTACATTTATATGTATATTTAAATTATTAATTAGGTAGGTATAAGTATAATAAAAATTAATAATTTTTTAATTATTTGAATTTAATTTCAATGCCATATTTAAATTGTCTACTTATATATTTCTAATTATTTTTAAAAATTTCTGAAACAATTAAATAGCTATTATTAATAAATTTTAATCGTACATTTATTTAATAAATATTTTAATTTATAAAAAGAAGAAATACAAAAAAAAAAATCATTTAATTTTTATATTTTTTGGTCTTTTAATTGAAATTTATGTGAGTATACTTACATATTTGTATATGTATGTATGTACAAATGTATAACATAAAATTAATGAATTAAACAAAAAAAAAAACAAAACTAAAAAAAATTAATTACATTTATTTAAATGTATATTATATACATTTGTTATACATACATATATGATTATATTTATATGATATATATTGTTATACACATATATATAAGTAAATTTTGTATACTTACTGTTACGGTTGCCTTCCTTGACTCTATATGTTAAATTATGAAATGCTAAGTCAACTGGAGACCTTGGTGGTAAATTTTTTAATTTTTTCGGTTGATTTGGTGATATTTGACTTTTAACAATTATTGGTTTTGTTTTATTATCACTAAGTAAATTATTAACAACACTACTGTTATTGTCGTTCGGCATTTTGAAGAATATTTAATTTTTTTTATTTTTTGTTATTTTTAATTAATTAACTATTAATAATATTTTTTTATGTATTTTTATATTAATAATTATTAATAAATTTTTTATAATAAATATTAATTAATTATTTTTATTTTGTATATTCTTATATACATATAAATGCATCTGTATATATATGTATATGTAGGTTGTATACAATATATTTTATAAAATAAAATAAAATTCTTTTTATTGCAACTTGAATATTATTTTTAACATGTTTTGCAATATTTTCTATATGAAAAAGAAAAAGATTGTTGTTTTATTTATTTGTTTTTTTTTTTTCTATTTTTTTCGTTGATAAATTTTTTTATAACCTCTTGCTTTTTAAAGTGTCGTCGTAGTAGTATTGATAATTTTTTTATTTTCTTTGTTTAAAATTACAAAATTTTTTATATATGTAATTATATACTTATGTATTTTTTTATTATTATTTATTTATTCCAATTTTTTCTCTCTTTATTCTTAAAATTCTTCATGTAGAAGATTTACAATAAAAGAAAATTAAAATAATTTACAATACAACAGTCTTTTATTTTTTGTAAAAAATTATTACAAAAAAAAAAAAATTATTTTCTCTTTTTGATTTTAAAAACTTATTATCGAAGTTTTTATTTTATTATTTGAATTTGAAAATTAAATAAAATTATTGTACAAAATATATATTATGTACATTTACATATAGATATATATGTTTGTGTATATTTCTTCCTAATCTCTTATAAGTTTGTTAATCCGATCACTTTTATTTTTCTTTTTTTTTTATTAAATATGCGCTATAATTTTAGAATTCAACTTCTTGTAATGAAAGTACGATCGAGACTGAAAGAAAATCAAAATGAATGTGTGAAATTCGATTGAGTTAAAAATGAAATGAACAATATTTTAAAGAAACAAATGAATAAAAATCAACTCAGATTATTTATTCTACTACTACACTACACTATACAGATAAAATGAATGATATGAAAATTGTAAAAGACTTAATGTGTGTTTGAAATGTGTGTAACAATAAAATGAAAAAGTGTGAGTAAGAAGGTGAAATAGCAATAGTAAGAGTAGAGTAAACACAATTTACTAACACTACATTTAATTACATTTCTTTTAATTTTTCACTAGATAGAGTGATTGCCTTTTTCTTTGCTCTATGTTTTGTTAAAATTCTAAATACAATATTAGTGATGTTAATTTTAGATTATCAAATAAAAATGTAGTAAAAAAAATGTTGTGTATCAAAGGCATATTGTTAAAGAGTACAGTGCAAAATTTTATTTGAAGTAGTCAAATTTCGCTTGAGCACCACTTGAGTATTGATAGATGTTTAAGTAACAATACTATTTAGGTTTTGATAGATGATAGTTTTTCAAACTACATTAAATTTTAATTATAATAGAATATTATGTTATATGCTTAAATCAAATTAGACGAACAGGCTAATGTAAAACAAAATAAGTTATAAGTTCTGTTCCAGTTATAATTACTACATGTCGGCCAAATTTAATAACAAAATTTTCTAATTATTAAAATAATTTAATAAAAAACCATTTTTGAAGTACAGTCAATTTAGTTTTTTTTTTTTAACTAAAGCTATTTTAGAATATTTAATTTAAAACTATAAAATATTGTATTTTATCTGTTCTTTTCTGTTATTTGTTTTCATTCTACTTTAGGATTCATTCCACTTTTTGACACATATTATTATTGTTTTAAATAAAGAATTGCTGCAGTTGGAGGTTATAAGTTCTGATATAATCTACAAATAATTTTATATCGTAAACTTTTTAAATTTATTGAAATCTTCTATTTTTAATTTTTTGAAATCAATATGTTAAAAAATTGTTCATTTTTCATAAGCGTTCCAAAAATTTATTCTAATTTTTTCTGAACATGTTATCTATTAATTTTATTGTATGTAGCATATTTGAGATTACCATTTCAAACACTATCTTTATTATACAGCTGTTATAATGGCAGTTCTTTTGTATATGTGTTTGGGAGCTTAAAATAAAATTTCTCATTTTACATTATCATCATAAGAAATTTATCTGTGTGTGTGTATGGTTAAATATAATTTTAATAAATTAAATGTATTGGTTTTAAAAATAGAATTTTTTATATGAAATAAAACATTTGGTTTGTTGTTAAACCACAATCAAACATGTGTTTCATACTTAGAAAAAATGTTTCATAAATAAATTTCAAATGTTAAAGAGCGAATTAAAAAGAATTATAAAAATTGTAATTAAAACAACTACAATTTTTGTTAATATTCTAAGATTATAATATTTAAATAACATCATTAAAATAAAGATAAATGAAATTCAAATTTCAAATTCTTAAGATTAATTTAAGATTGCGCTCTCTTTCCAGAGAAATAGTGCGCACTATTCTAGTTTCTAGTGATTCTCTTTTTAAATATGTTACGTATATTGATATGCAATTAAAAAAAGAATGATTAGAAATTTAAATAAAAATGAATTGATTTCCTGCACTTAGTAACTATAGCAATAAGCAAGGTATGGTTCAAGTGTTATATTGTATTACACATCTTATATGACTCATATACATAATTTATGTAAAATAACAAATTTATTAAATTTTCAATTAAATAAAGAAAATTTTGTTGATAACCAAATTATATGCATAGTGCATGCTATTAATTATATAGCCACTCTACAAGTTACAAGCCGTGTGTATAGGTAAATGTTTAGGTCAAATTTTGAAATGCCATTAACAAAATCTTATCAAATCTAATAACTGATCAATGACATTTTGATGATAAATACTTACATATATGTTTGCTCATAAAGTTATATTCTTAAATTATAAAATTAATGTTATACATTATATTATTATCTTATCTTAATCTGAAATATAATATTCAAGGTTTAAAATTAAAGTAACTTTAGTATCTAAGACAATCGATTAATTAACATGTTTTTTTTTGTGATAGTTGCACATTATCATGTTTCAGAGCTTATTAGAATGTACCTTTGATCATTATGTACATACAGATATTGTAAAATTTAAAAGTCTAACAAGGAAAATAGATATTGAATTAAATTATTGATTTTTGCTAGAATTAATTGTTATATAAATTATATAACCAAAATTTACGAAAGCAATATAATAATATAATATAAAATAGTATATAATTAGTTTTAATTTTTCGATATTACGGTTCTGTTAGAAATTAAACAGTAGGTACTTATTGATATTTCAGCATAACTTCGAAGCAAGTTACTAAATTTTTATTAAAAAGAAAAGAAAGGGAAGACAAGCAATTGTGTAAAAAAGTTGAGTTTAATCTAAAAAAGATTGAATTATTTGCAATTCAACAGTTCAACGAGAAATTATATTATTCCAATATTTAAGGCCGTTTCGATAATTTTTTCCGGGGCTTGAAAAGTCCCTTAAATGATTATGAAAAGTTTAAGAGTTTTTTTTAAATCTTTTCAATGGTAGGTCAGCAGACTGTGTCAATTTAACTTTTTAAAGCTATATTGGGATCTTTTTGAACGTTGTATTGCACTGGCATGGCTCTGGGGTACTTGTCTAGTAAACATGCTTGCATTAAAAATAATCATCTATTGCATATACTTCGTGACAAATTGAATATTGCTATTTTATATAATTTACAAGTGGGCCACATTATATAATTTCAAGTCTACATTTTCAATTTTTCACCAAAATTTTATTTTTTGAAGTAATAAGAGTAAAGTACATAAATTTTTGCACTCAATTACAAATTATTATGTATAAATTTTATATAATATAATGGTTTGATATAAAACCAATAAGTCAATGTTCCTTAATATATTTCAAGATTTCATTAACACACACATTCATACTGAAATTTTAAAAAATTGAAAAAGTTGGTGTTGCATGTACTTAATTATTTTAGTTGTGCAATTTTGATTTGTCATTAAAAAAAAGCAATGATTATATACGTTATATAGTTATTAATTAAATGAAACTTGTTTTTAGAATATTTTAAATGAATTCTAAAATATTTATAATTGCATATGTATTTAATTATATTATATCAAAAACTTATTATTTGCTTTGTACAGCAGATTGATTGATAATTAAAAGCTCAGCATTTCAAAGGTTATCAAAGGTTTAGAAATTTTTATAAGATTGTATAAGTATTTATAGGTATACATGTGATCGTTTGTAGAGATATGCAGATATATGTGAAAGTGTTATACATATTACGTATTTTTAATTAATTTTAGATAAGTTTTCATTTTACACATATTTGCATTTCATATTTGATTTCTATACAATTATAATAGTATATTATATATACTTATGTAAGTAAAAATTCTTCTGCAAATAATATTATAAGTTGTCTGGCAAAAAGTGAATCTTCAATAGAGCCTTTGATTTCAAAATAAATATCGTAAATATCGTGAAGCTACAATACGTTACAACTGTTATCACATAAATTATTGTCGCATATTTACAGCGGCCAAATCTAATTTTTCTAGCTTTTTCAATAATTAATCTCTTCTTTCATTTTTTGGAAAAAGTGAGACGCTTAATACGTAAAATATTCTACTGAACTGTGGTATGGGAATAAATAACCCTTAATCGTTTTCGGAAAATCAAATTAATGTTTCTTTTTACTGAACGGTAATGTTCAATATTCTAATTTTTATCATAATTTCTAATAAGACTGAACTGTGATTTAGAGAATTGTTAATTGACTTGAAATAGAAATTTTCATTTGAATATAAATAATTTTTAAATAAGTTAAGTTTAAAAAATGAAATTTACATTATTCTATAATTATAAATTCATTATACTTTGGTTGATTCTATTTTACAAACGTGAGAGATAGAAATTTAATAAATTATTTTATATTTACAAATTTTTCCGGAAGATTAAATTGCATCAGACTTACGTATATAAAAACGTGATCATTTATTAAATATAGATAAGGCAAAAATTAAATATTTAATATCACTTTTTAATTTTTTGAATATTTAAACAATTTCTTTTTAATTAATAGAATTAAAAAGAATGTATTAAAATGTTGTGAAAAAATTGTTTGAAATTGGATTTATTAAATTAGCAAATATTTTACGCGGAAATTTCAATAAAATTGGAATTTTGTTAATATAAATTAATATTGAGATTTTGTAAAATTTTTTTTTAAAATAAGAAAATTGAAAAATGAATAAAATTAAACTTGTTGAATAATAAAAAATAAATACGGAACTTGTTGAAGTCAATTCTTTGTTCTGTAATTTGTATAAAATATTGAGCAATTGCATAATTTTAAAAGATTCTTCTAATCACTTTATGTGTTTTAATATTTGCAGCCTAATCGTGTTACGCACTTCTTCTTCTCACTTTTTATTCACTTTCGAACAAGAATTATCTATTTTTCTAATGAATATTTAATTTTTCCAATAAGATTACTCATTTTTCAATAGGATTTTTGAATTTTTCTTAAATTATCGACTGAACGTTTCACCTTCAAAAACAAAGTAAGTAAAATAGTGAGATACACAATGGGGCTCTTAATATAATATTTATTAATGTATAATATACTATTTTTTGTAAATTCACGAGTCAATTTTAACAAATTTTAACTCATAACTTGTATAAAATATATGTATAGGTATTTTAGCTAATGTCAACTATTATACCAATGAATCCGAATCCGATCAATTTATTGAACTAATTATTTTAATTAGTTAAAAAAATTTTACTTAATTTACAAAAATACAAATTTTAATACTTTTTATGGATAATTCTTTTCTATGGTAAAATGGAAAATGATACGACGCAGACGTGGAAGAAAACGTTAACACTAGTTATTATTCTCTACAAATTAC